TCAGTGTCAATCACAATGAATATTTTTTTATCACTATTTTGACTAGGCATATTGTTCTTGCAAAATGGTTCACAGTTCTAAATGGACAACAAATCTCAGTGAATCTGAAGAGCTTTTATGAAAACTCTTAAGTCTTTTATATTTAAACCATTGCTGTGCATTCTCTTTTTATTAGTTATGTGATATCTATCTTCCTGTATGGCAGTGAGTGCTGGACAATCTCCTCAAAGATGAAGAGACTTGAGGCAATAAAAATGTGGTTCTACAGAAGTATGCTGAGGATATCATGGATGGAGCAAATAATTCTATCTAGCACACAACAGTCATGATAGGAAAGGGAACGATGAAGAAAGTTTAATAGTGAAAGTCAGAAATACATCTAAGAACAATTCAAAGACTTGTGAATTATTGACAATCTCCTCAAAGATGAAGAGACTTGAGGCAACAGAAATGTGGTTGTACAGAAGTATGCTGAGTATATCATGGACTGATTATGTAAGCAACAACAAAGTTTTAGAGAAAATGGAAACAAAAAGGACACTTATACATGACATCAGAAAGAGATAGTTGAAATTTGTAAAGCATATAATGAGGAAAGAATGTTTGGAAAAATTAATACTCCTAGGACAGATTGAAGCCAAGAGGGACAGAGGAAAACATTGCATAACATACTTAGTGAGCTTGAGTAAATGGATGGTGGAACAGGGTTGAGGAAAAATAACAAAAAGAAAATATTTATTAAGAGCTACAAAAGACAGGTCATTGTGGAGAGCCATGATTGCCTACATCCTGAGAAGAAATGGCATATAAAGAAGAAAAAGAATCTGAGTGAGAATTATAATGACAGTTTCTTGTTTAGAAATATTAAAATCATTCATTGATTAAAAAAGCAAATATTAACAATGTTTGAAAAGATCATTATGTTCTACAGCAGGTAATGAAGGAAAGCAAGAAGAAAGGACTAAACATCAATAGCAAGAAGACTGAATGCATGGTTGTTAGCAAAAGGATGAGCCCAATATTCAAATTACAGACTGGAGGTGCAACAAATTAGATATCTGGGAAACATAAAGTACGACACAGAAATATATATTTTTAATCATTTCACCCCAAGTAAGGCAGGAAAGCCACTAATACAGAGAAGGTTACAGAGAATGAAGTTGAGAGAAAAGACTGTGCAAAGGATAAAGAAAGGATAAAAGCAAAATGGGATTCAAGAAGATAGAAGATGGCAATTGACATTGCATTTAATTTTTTTAAGATCATAGTTATCAGGAAAGCAAGTAAACAGACGAGAGTTTCACTGTCAGGAAGTGGGAAAAAATAAACTGTTTAGCTAATTCAATAGTAAAAGGTTATGACCAAGATGTCAATCTAGTAGCATACTTAAATTCATGCAGTTGGGGTACCAGGGAAAAAAATCTTGTCAGAGCAGTTGCCATGAAAATATTTGTAGAAAAGACAGAGGGAAGCCATGTCAGTCAGAAAGTGACTGAAGTCGAGATGCCAAGTCAGGATCAATTACATTGCAGATCCTTCTTTAGATTTTGTCAAGAACCTCAAGATGAATTGCAGGAGTACCAGACCAGATATGGCAGCAGTATTCGATGCACGGACAAATGGTAGATTTGTAAATATGCAAGACGCTCTGGCACGACACATTGCAGTAGATGCAGCTATTGAATTGATGTAGCCATTCCACCTCAAGTCAGCTGAAAACATGAAGCCAAGAAAGTGCAGTGTAGTTCCTCTTCATGAGTTTAGCATCAGCCATGCTGATAGCAGGCAGGAAATGAGCCATTTCTCTATGGTGGCTAAATGAAAGCTCAGTTTCATTTTGGAGGATATATATATATATAGATATAAAATTATATGGAGATATTTCCTGCCCCAGTTAATATATAAAGATTGGAGGTCTTTTCAAAAAGAACAGTGGCCAAGATGAAGTTTGTATATATATATATAGATAGATAGATAGATATATATATATATATAGATATATGAATATATATATATATATATATATATATATAGATATATATATATATATATAGATATATAGATATATATATATATATATATATATATATATATATATATATATATATATATGGATATATATAGATATATAGATATATATATATATATATATATGTATATATATATAGATATATATATATATATATATATATATGTATATATATATGGATATATATATAGATATATATATATATATATAGATATATATATATATATATATATATATATATATATATATATATAGATATATATATATATATATATATATAGATATATATATATATATATATATATATATATATATATATATATATATATATATATATATAGATATATATATAGATATATATATATATATATATATATATATAGCTATATATATATAGATATATATACGAATATATAACAACAATAATTATATATATATATGTATATATGAATAACCAATATATATATATATATATATATATATATATATATATATATATATATATATATATATATATATATATATATATATATATATATATATATATAGAATATATATATATATATATATATATATATATATATATAGATATATATATAGATATATATATATATATATATATATATATAGATATATATATATATATATATATATATATATATAGAGAGAGAGAGAGAGAATGAAAAGTCCTTAGCCTGACTAAGGAAGGATTCCAAAATAAATTCTAATGTTTGATTGTTTAGTTAGTTTTGGTAAAGGGGATTAGGCTAAGAACCTCCCAAAACTTTAGTGCTTTGTCACAGGAGATAGAAAGAGTGAAAGAAAAGTGAAACTGGTGATATTAAAATCAAGAAAACTGAATTCCCTTGAAAATTACGTTTGATTGGTAAGTAAAGTTTTCATCTTATAAAACAAGTTTTAGACCAGACAGAATAATGAAATTGGTATCACAATGAAGGAAATTTATTTCCCTACAAAATGATAAGGACTGTTTGTTAAGTAAGCTTACTAATTCTATAAAATAAATTTTAAATCAGAATAATGAAAAATAAAGTTAATTTATCTCTTCAAAATAATGAGTGTTGTTTCATGATTAAGGTTTCCAACCCAATAAAATTATTTTAGTCCAGATAGAATAATAAAAATAAAGGAAATTTATTTCTCCTCACAATTTTGAGGGTTGATTGCTAAGTAAGATCATCAATCATATAAAACAAGTTTTAAACTAGATAGAATAAAGAAAAATGAAAGAAATTTATTTCTCTTCAAAATTATGAGAGCTGATTAATGTGTAAGGTCTCCAACCCAACAAAATAAGTTTTAGACCAGATAAAATAATGAAAATAACAAATATATTTCTCTTCAAAATTACAATCCCTGAGAAGTAAAGTCGCCAAGCCTATAAAACAAGTTTTTGACCAGATTGAATAACAAAACTGGGATCAAAATGGCAGAAATTTATTTATCTTCAAAATTATGAAGGTTGACTGATATTTAAGGTTTCCAATCCTATAAAACAAGTTTTTGATCAGATTGAATAATAAAACTGGGATCAAAATGGCAGAAATTTATTTATCTTCAAAATTATGAGGGTTGATCGATAAGTAAGTCCCCATAAAACAAGTTTTATACCAGAAAAATATTGAAACTGCTATAAAAATAAAGTCATTTTATTTCTCTTTAAAAGTACAAGTTTATTTTTTAACATAGTCACCATTTAGTGCCAGACATTTTTCAATTGTTCTGTCCATTTTGTTAATGTGTACTTTGACTTCAACTGTGTACAGTAACTTTAATTTCAGCATTTCATTTCTTTCAATTTTGGCACAATCCAGAATTTTGAGGCTGTCAAAATGGGGCAGAACAGAGTTTGTCCAAATTGCAATTTTCTTGCCACTTGTGTGATTTTATTTACTGTGTCATATAATGTGGCCTTACATTGTTGTGATGCAAAAAAAATGCTTCTTTTTTTCAGGCCTTATGTTGCAGAAGTATTGTTTGAGCGCTTAAAAGGTTTCACAATACCTTACTGAATTAATTGTCCTTCCCTTTTGTAAAAATTCCATGCAAACAACTCCCTGGCCGCTGTTTTATATATAACTCATGACTAATGAATGTTATTACACAATTTTGTCATACAATCAAATTGCCATGAAACATATTTGAACATGATTTGAAATTCAAGCATATTCTAGTCTACTCTATTAAAGGCAGTACATTAAAAATTTATCAGCATGAAACTGGGCATAAAGAAAAAGTGGTTTATATTTTCAGTATTTCTTCATTCTCTTTGGTAGTCAGCAAGAGGAACAACCCAAGATGCAAGCTACAGATTGGAGGTAGTAAAAGAAAGCAAGAAGAAAGGACTAAGCATCAATTGTAAAAAGACCGAATCTATGGTTGTCAGCAAGAGGAACAACTCAAAATGCAAACTACAGATTAGAGGAAGTAAAAAAAAGCAAGAAGAAAGGACTAAGCATTAATTGTAAGAATACCAAATGCATGGTTGTAATACTCAAAATTGACTATTATAAAATTTACATATTAATAATTATATACTACTGTTAAGGCACAGGTGTAGTTGATTTAATTATAAAAAAATAAATAATTTTATATATTTTTAAAGAATGGATTAAATACAAAAATAAAACCAAAGACGTTAAAAAAGTATATTTATATACATTCACTGTGTGCTTTATATATATATATATATATATATATATATATATATATATATATATGTATGTATGTATGTATGTATGTTTATTTCTAAAGAAGTGATGAATATTTTATTTATTAATGTGACAGATTTTATTGCTTAAACATAGTTTTTAGTGGATACTCATATTTGAGTAGATGTTTCAATTCTTTATAAAACAGGACATTTTTTTTATTTTCATCTACAGGCCTGAATATTCAAGAAATCTTATTAAAGAAAAATATGTACTGTCCAGTGTCCCCCACCTATATTTTAGATATGAACAGAATGAGAGAGAGAAAGATATGAACAGAATGAGAGAGAGAAAGATATGAACAGAATGAGAGAGAGAAAGATATGAACAGAATGAGAGAGAGAAAGATATGAACAGAATGAGAGAGAGAGAGATATGAACAGAATGAGAGAGAGAAAGATATGAATAGAATGAGAGAGAAACATGAATAGAATGAGAGAGAGATATGAATAGAATGAGAGAGAGAGATAAACATAAATAGAATAAGAGAGAGAGAGATATGAATAGAATGAGAGAGAGAGATATGAATAGAATGAGAGAGATAGATATGAATAGAATGAGACAGAGAGAGATATGAATAGAATGAGAGAGAGATATGAATAGAATGAGAGAGAGAGATATGAATAAAATGAGAGAGAGAGAGAGATATGAATAGAATGAGAGAGAGAGATATGAATAGAATGAGAGAGAGAGAGAGATATGAATAGAATGAGAGAGAGAGATATGAATAGAATGAGAGAGAGTGATATGAACAGAATGAGAGAGAGTGATATGAACAGAATGAGAGAGAGTGATATGAACAGAATGAGAGAGAGAGATATGAATAAAATGAGAGAGAAAGATATGAACAGAATGAGAGAGAGAGATATGAAAATGAGAGAGAGAGATATGATTAGAATGAGAGAGAGAGAGATATGAATAGAATGAGAGAGACTAATAAACATAAATAGAATGAGAGAGATAGATATGCATAGAATGAGAGAGAGAGATATGAATAGAATGAGAGAGAGAGATATGAATAGAATGAGAGAGAAAGATATGAACAGAATGAGAGAGAGATATGAATAAAATGAGAGAGAGATAGATATGAATAGAATGAGAGAGAGATAGATATGAATAGAATGAGAGAGAGAGAGATATGAAAAGAATGAGAGAGAGAAAGATATGAACAGGCTGAAATCTCCTAGTCTATTCATTTTATCTTGGTCTGTTCAGATCAATATCGTTTCATATCTTTCTATTTATAGCTTTTCATATCTAACTCTTTTCATATATATCTATGTCACTCTGTTTATATCTAAGTCTGTTCAGATCAATCTCTTTTCATATCTGTCTCTCTATTTATCTCTTTTCATATCTATCTCTCACTTCATATTTTATAAACATGCAAACATCAATGAAATGCTCTCAATCTCAACAGATACTTTTTGCATTTATGCCATCTGAAAACCTGAAATTATTTTGAAAAATCAGATATGCACCAAGTTCCATGTTAAATATACACTATTTGGATTAACACCAACCGTGTCTATATTTACATGCAGAAAACATCTACTTATCTGAGTACATGGAAGATAAGAAAAATAATTACAATAAATGCAAATATTTACCATTTAAAATGCAGATGCCAGTCAAGTGAACTTAGCAGTAATAAAATGCATTATAGTAACATTTTTAGTTTCTTTTTCTGTCCATTTTATTTCTCTTTTCTTCAAGGCGAATATATTCTTATAATGGATGCCGAATATTCTTCATGGGAAGAAAAACAGTTTTAAACAGAATGAGATACAACATCTAAAAATAGCCTTTCCTCGCATAACCTATGAAATCAAAAGCAAGCTCGAGGTTAGTTTTTGGAATCCAAAACTCGAAAACACAAATGACCTTAACCACCAATGTACTTAGATTCCATCTCTTCAAAATGATATTTTCATATGTTTATATGATATCATATAACTTTGATACCTTTAAAAGGATATCATCATATGATATGCATATCAAAACAATATAGTTGCATAAGAAGAAATCCTTGAAAATGAATAATAGTTGAGGCCAAATGCAATAATTAAAATTTGGGACAATTAAGTCCAGAAAAGAAATCATTCATATGCATACAAGAAAAGCCTAAAAAAGAGTACCCTACCAGTCATGCTCAAGGAAACATGTATTAAAGAGGGATTGCTGCTCAAATACACAATTCTTTGCCTCTTTTATATATATATATATATATATATATATATATATATATATATATATATATATATATATATATAATAATAATAACTGGCCACGTATTTTATGATACCTGTCTACTAGAGCAGCTAGCCAATCCCTTAATTCAGCTGCTCGCTCAAGCACATTTGTGTTTATTTAACACCCACAGAGCCCACCTGTGGTTCATACTACAACTATGCCGAGCAGACTTTAGTTACAGTTTCTGAGAGAAAGCATGATCAACAATCTGAACAAGGCCAGTAGATTCAAACCCTCGGTCACAATGACTTGTGAATTCATGCTAGCACAGCTATGGATGGCACCCAAAGTGTTCCGTCTACCCAATTTCACCGACAAGGCTTGGGCCAACCCATGGTGTAATTTTGAGGCACTTTCCAAAGATGGACATGCTGGGATCGTCCCCCTACAGACCGATAACATCAGGGAGTCTCGTGACAAATTAACTGTGGTGAGATTCAAACCTGGGTCTCATGGTCAGAAAGGAAACATTCTAACCACTTGGCCATGCACTCAATATATATATATATATATATATATATATATATATTGAATAATGGAAAAACCCAAGAGACATCGATTTAGGGAAACAACCTCAAAAATTGATATTTATAGTTATGTAACTTTATCATATATATATATATATATATATATATATATATATATATACAGCTTGTATAGCAATTTTTTGTTGTTGATATTTTTGCTTTTCTCTGTCATTCTTTATTACTGACTACCACATTGTTTTCATTTCTATTCTTGGCTGGCTTAGGAGATTTTTGTTGTCTGGCATATGTGCTGATTCCTTAAATTTTCTAAGATATTTAAATAGTGTAAATAAGTACAATACCTTATATCAAAATTATAGACAGATATTAAAAAATCAGTATGGACCCAATATACTGAAAATATGGAGACAATTAGAAAACTCTTACCAGTAGCTGACACGAATATCAAACCATCTAACATTCCTACATCAATGTAGAGACTTAAAACTCAACCCTTCAGGTTTGGCACCAAGAATTACAATTAATTCAAGAATAGCCAGTCTGGCTGCTCAAAATGCAGACACACCCTTGTCCAAGAGCCCGGTACAACCATTGGATAAAATAGAAACTGCAGTCCCACATGCTCAAGGCCTTCTTCAACAGAATTACCAATGAAGAAGACTGAAAGAGCATCCAGCATGATGTGGATAAATCAGTCAATACCAGCTGAGTGCCTCTGAGGGGTCAGTGCTGAACAATGGTCTTAACTTTGCCACAACCATCAGGAAGATAACATACTTGGACATCATTGCCTGAATTGAGGAAATAGTCTTGAACATCCCTCAGGCTCGGGTGGATGAACTAAGATGGAAAGTGAGACAGATACTGGAGAAAACCAAGCTGCTCAAATCAAACATCACAAAACTGGAGAGGCTGGCCATCAGATCCCTAGAAAGGAATGAAAACATCATCATACTACCAGCTGACAAAGGCAATGCAACTGTAGTGATGGACAAAATGGCATATACTGAAAAGCTGAAGGGTCTCATTAAAAATGGTAGCTACAGTAAAAGAAAGATCCAAGATGAAAACAAAACAAAAACTGTTGCAGATCCTAATCAAGAACACAGACCACTACCTACCTAAGACATATAGGCAGTTATCACAGCATTAAATCAAGCTACTTCACATATACAGCCTCCTCAAAATTCACAAAGCTGGTATTCCACTCAGGCCAATTGTTAGCTGCCACCCTCTGAGGTGCTTGACCCACCAATAGGAAAGTCGGCTTCATATATCTGAAACTTCACCCACTTCATGGAAATAATCAAAGATGCTCCCATCCAATCCATGGACATGGGGAATTTTTTCACCAAGGTACCCACAGAGGATGGAGATGGAGTTGCTGACTTTCTGTACACAAACACACTTCAGAATGGGATCAGACATATATCAGCAGGATGAAGGCTTAGCAATGGGTTCACCATTATCACTAGCAATGGCTAACATATACTTGAAATACTTTGAAGAAATGGTATTAGAATCCACATCACTAAAGCCAATTCTGTATCTGAGATTTGTAGATGACCCCTTTATACTCTAGTCGCACCAGGAAGAAGTCCAGCTACTATTGGACTATGTGAATTTAATAAGATCATTGATACAATTTACAATGGAGAGAGAAAATGACAACAAACTAGCATTCCTGGATGAACTAATATCTCAAACAGAGCATGGGTTCAAGATATCTGTATACTGGAAGCCTACAGTTACCAGACAATACCTCAACATCAACTCCTATCACCCTTACCATGTAAATAAAGGGATCATTTGCTGCTTACAACATTGAGCAAAAGTCATGTGGCAACCCAGAAACATATGAACAAGAAATGGTCAGTATAAGCAGTACCCTTCAATGTCACAACTACCTGAGGCACATGGCAGCAGATACAGGATAGTAGGGTACAAGAGAATAACAACACTCAGAAAACAACTTTGGCCTGCCTACCCTATGTGAAGGGATTATTGGAAAAAATACAAAAGATCTGTGGTCCATATAACATCAGGATGATCTTAAAAAGTGGTTTAACATTTCACAGACACCTCTTCTGAGTAAGACCCCCCCCCCCATAGAGGAGAACTTGACTAAGGACTGCATGTACACCTTCCCATGCAGCTGTGGTAAGAAGTATAAAAAAGAAACAAGCTGCCCCCTTAAGATAAGGCTACAAGAACATTGTAAAGCTATACCACAAGGGGAAATAGAAAAATCAGGCATAGCTGACAACATATGGAGGGAAAAGGAAGATCTCTGCCTAGTGTGGCATGGGGTTGACAGAGAACATCACTGAAAAATATAAAAACTTAAGGAATCAGTACATATGGTAGGCCATAAAAACCTCCTAACTGGCCAAGCATAGAAATGAATACAATATGAGAACCAGTAATAAGGAGTGCTAGAGAAAAAGCAATAATAACAACAACAAAACCTTGCAATATGAGCTCTGGTAAGAAATGGTTACTGAGACATTAAGTTTATAAATCCCCAAAATTCATACACTATATAAATATAAAAGATAATCTTCAAGATATTGAGTTTAAGTGTTTAATTTAGTTCTTGTCATTCAGTATTTCTACATGGCCTTTTTTCAACATCACTATATTAAAGACGCTCTATTATGTAATATACAGCGTTAACAGAAATGTAGTAACTTTTTTCTGGCCCTCAAACATCATAAAATGTACTGAGAAAAGCATTCTGTAAATTACTCTCAATTTGGGGGTAAAATTAACAAAAGTAATTAATTTACAAAGGTGACCCAAAAGCTTTGCATGCTAGTGTATGTCATCAGAAATTAGCATCTGAAATTATAAATAATTCCAAATGGCAAATGTAATTTGAAACTGAGCATGCAGATTATCTTTTTTTGAAAGATGCTTTTAGATGATTATGAAAAAAAAAGAAAAAAACAGATTTAATTATCCAAAGGGACAGGTTAGAGATTTAGGCTACAGACAGCGGAGGACCATAAGAGGATCTGAAGAGTTCCAAAGAGCCTTACAAAAAGCGCTATCCATTTTTGCAAAAACCATTTTCTAAAAACTGCCTCAGGAAATATTAGTAATCACCAACTCATTGTCAAGAAAGATGCCTTTCAACTTCCAGAATATATATATATATATGTGTATATATATATATATATATATATGCTGGTTGGTAAAATAGAATCTGTAGTTTGCATCAAGTATATATATATATATATATATATATATATATATATATATATATTCACTTATAAGACATTATTAAATGAATAAAGAAACACATAAAATGTACATATATAAATGTGTCTATCTAGCATATACATTATTTCAGATTTTATACGTCAATTTTTGCACAATAAAAGTGGTATGTTTTATACTATTATTTGCCCAATAGGAGGCTCAAGAGGC